TTCCAGCTCCTCCTGTTTGCCGCCCATGCTGCGTGCATTGGTGTAGATGCACTTGAGCTGGGCTATCGATTTTGCCTCCAGCATTGGCATGCCACCCCTCGGCTCATCTCTAGTGAGCGCGGTTTTATCCCCTTCCCCCTTCGAACCTGGTTTACAGCCCTCTCGATGAGCCCCGCCAATTCATGAGCGAGAATCCTTTTCCCCCTGTGAGACAGCTGAACTCATCTGTCGCCAGCAGGCCTGGTGCCGTGTAAACCTCCCTATGATCAAAAAAGCCAAAATTCCACTGATGGCACCAGCCCCTGAGCCACGTGTTGGTCAGGTGTGTTTTCCTGTTCCTTTCAGTGTCCTTCCCTGCCACTGTAGGGATTGAGGAAAACACTACCTGTGTACCTGTTCAGGAACAGACTGCTCCAGCCTGGATCCCCCACAGGCCACAGTTCCTGCCAGAAAACCTGCTCCTGTGTGAGCTCCGCTCCACAGGCTGTAGCTCCTGCCAGGAGCCTGCTCTGGCGTGGGCTCTCCACAGACTGCAGCTTCCTTCAGGGCACATCCACCTGCTCCAGCGTGAGGTCCTCCACAGGCTGCTGGGGTGGAGATCTGCTCTGCCATGGTCCTCCTTGGGCTGCAGGGGGACAACCTGTGTCACCATCGTCTTCTCCACAGGCTGCAGAGGAATCTCTGCTCTGGCACCTGGAACACCTCCTCCCCCTCCTTCTTCACTGACCTTGGTGTCTGCAGGGCTGTTTCTCTCACATTTTTCTCACTCCTCTCTCACAGCTGCTGTGCGGTGCTTTTTACCCTTTCTTACCACAGAGGCACCACCAGCATCACTGACAGGCTCAGCTTTGGGCTGAGGCAGGTCCACTTTGGAGCCAGCTGGAACTGGCTGTGTTGGATGTGGGCGTAGCCTCTGATGTCTTCTCACAGAAGCTACCCCTGCAGCCCCCCCGCTACAAAAACCTTGTTGTGTAAACCCCGTAGAGAGAGCCGTGCTAATGAAAGCAAGTGAAGTCATAGAGAGTAGCAAGATGTAACATTCTTATTAATTCAATAAACTTTTTGTATTGTAAAATAAAAAAGGGTGTCGTCCCAGCTGTGCTTCAGTTCTCAGGTTCAACTTCTACTTCTAGAAGGAGACTGCAGAACATGGGAAATTTGGGTTCACTATTTCAAAGCTGTGTATTCGTAAATCATTTAACTTACCTGTGGTTTAGCTGCTTATCTCAGAATAATGTGATAATTCTTTGAGTTTCTCTGTGTATTCTTCCACAGCTGTGTAAGGGCTGCTACCTGGGGGTCAGTGGTCTTGCAAGGAATTTATCCAATATTGCTATAATTAGTACACACTTTAACCATCCTCATATATTGCACATAATTCATCCATGATGCTGTAGGACCAGCTGCTGCTTCAGTTCCTCTTAATCTCTCCCTTAATCTCAGATCACCTCAGATCTTTTTGCAATTTTTTGCTTGAAGACTACTGAGCACAAATCTCCAGGACTGATATAAAAGCTATGTAGTCTGTCATCGATTTTTGTCCCTTGAATAATAATTGTGATTGGTGGACTTCTCTGCCACACACATGTAGCACAGAGAAAGCTTAATATAATTTCTTGAAAATGAGATTATCAGCAGTTTCATACTGAAGCATAGACTCCTTTGGGTGCTTCGCTGGGGAGGCTTTGAGCAGCATCCTTGGCTTTGTCATGGCTAGTATGGTTGGTGGCTGATGTGGCCACTGGCCACATCGTATGAGCATTCTGATACACTTACTTGATGCTTTTGTGTTAGCAACTCTATGTGTCCTTGGTAGAAACATGGAAGAAACTGATAACTGTAATGAGATTCTGTTCTTCCTGTTTAAAGCATATCACAGACTGCAAAAAAAACCCTCACCATTGTTCTTTTCCAGGTGTTGTCAGCTGCCTCAGCAGCAGGAGTATCTGTAGCCTTTGGTGCCCCAATTGGTGGAGTCCTTTTCAGTCTGGAGGAGGTATGTCAAGAGATGGCACTGAAGGATAGGTACTACAACCAGTCTCTTTTAGCATGAATAGTCTCAGGCTCCTTTAAGCTGCGGAGTCTTTCCTAAGAAGGAAATTATTTTTGGACCCACATTTCAAAGTCAAGAGTCCTGTTACCAGCAAACTCCTAAAGATATGTTTTCTTTTCTTTGGATGAATGTCAGCTTTGCTTTATTCTCAGTTATGTTTTTCTGGAGAAGGGCTGAGTCAGTTAATAATTACAGTTTATATACAGATAGAGATACAGCGGTTTTTCGCTCTAGGAGTGTATTCTAAAAAAAAAAAAAAAAGGGCTCTTTTTTTTTCATTTTGAAAGAGGCTTTAGAAACCTATCTGATAGTTTTATGAAGCAAGTTTTTAAACATTTCTTAAAGTTTCAGGCACTAAACACAATTTAATACATTAATTATTAAAAAGGCAAATATGCTATAAAACTGATCTCCAAGGCAACCAAACTGTCTTCTCCAATAAATGTTTTGTATTAAATTAGTTTTCATTAGTTGTTTTCAAAATACATAAGAATGTTATTTAGATCATTAGCATTTTTAAAAAAACTAAAAATCTAAAAATCTCTGAATTGAAAAAAGGAAGCAGAATATTCTATCATGTATGTTTTTGCTATATCATTAGGCGATTTTGAGGAATTCCTTTGTTGCCAAAAAAAGTCCGAAAAAGCTCAGAAGAAAACTCTCTCGAAATTCAAATCAGGCTATGTGGGGCTTAAGTATGAAATTGCGTGCTCTGTTTTGAGGATTTTTTTTTTTAACGTTTTAATCATACTTCATAAAAATAACACATCTGCAAGAAACGTTTCAGTGTAGGTTGAAAGGAGATGAAAGTATTAGCAGAAAATTCGAGAGAGCAGCTAGTACACAGTCTGGTTCTTATGAACGCTAGAAAGAGATACTTACAAACAGAGCAGCTTTTAAACATAAATTACTATGCATTATTTCCTAACAGTCTTAAAACAGCAGTGGTTTCAATACTGCTTTAGTATTGTCTTTAAAACTGATGTAAGTATGAATTGTTGTAGAGCTTTATAAAAATGTAGTATGTGCTGGAGCACCAGTGCTCCAAGTGATAAGAATAATACTGATAATGTAAGAGTACTTTTTTTTTTTAGTATATACTGTGTGAGTAGCAGTACTGTAACACGTGCATAAAACAGTCTTTCCAGTATTTTTAATTGAATCACTAATAATTCTCATGTATTGCCTTTTGCAGGTCAGTTACTATTTCCCACTGAAAACTTTATGGAGATCGTTTTTTGCTGCTTTAGTAGCTGCATTTGTTTTACGGTCCATCAATCCTTTTGGTAATAGCCGTCTAGTTCTTTTTTATGTGGAATATCACACTCCTTGGTACCTTTTTGAACTGCTTCCTTTTATTCTTCTGGGAGTATTTGGTGGGCTCTGGGGAGCGTTTTTCATCCGAGCAAACATCGCATGGTGTCGTCGACGCAAATCTACGAAATTTGGGAAGTATCCTGTCCTGGAGGTTATTATTGTTGCAGCAATAACAGCTGTCATTGCATTTCCTAACCCATATACAAGGCTAAACACCAGTGAGCTTATTAAAGAGCTCTTCACAGACTGTGGGCCATTGGAATCCTCCTCCCTCTGTGACTACAGAAATGATATGAACGCGAGCAAAATAGTAGATGATATTCCTGACCGTCCAGCAGGCACTGGAGTCTATTCAGCTATATGGCAGTTGTGTTTAGCACTCATATTTAAAATAATCATGACAGTCTTCACCTTTGGTATCAAGGTAAGTGTGAATGCAGCGGCTGCATCATCTGCTGTGATTATTTAATTATTACCTTTCTCATTTTCCATCTCTCAAAGCTAGTAGCTTTGTTTATAGAATTTTTTTCATGTGTGGTTCTTTTAAAAAAAGGTCTTTTTACTGTTGATTGGTAAGCAATTCTTGTAGAAAACAATATTGAGTTTAATTAAATTCAAACTAGCCCTTTGTTCAGCTGAATAGAAACGCATGCTAAATTTAATAGGGAACAGTAAGTGATGTGGGTGGATGGCTGTTTGTATGGGCCTGATTCAGCAATAAGGATAATTCTAAAATTTGCAAGAGCTGAGTTCAAACATAACCACTCAGGTTCCCTAGTCCTGTTACATGGAAGAAGAAAAGACTATACCTCTTGAACAACTTGTAGGGTTTTTTTTTCAATCCCCTCTTTGCATTTATCACATATATGTAATTACTGCAGACTGTCAAAGGGAGCCAATGATGATTTCTCTCCTGAAATTTCCAGTATTGCATGTCGTGACTAGAAAGTGAGCTTTGTTCATGTGACTGTAATGGGAATTTCTTCCCCATGACAAAGCAGCATAATTTTCATCTTTCCTGGTCATTTCGTAGATCTGTTTTGGAGCTCTCTTCAGCTTCTCTCCAACCTGTAGCTGTTTTCTGAACAACATACAACTGTCATGCCTTCATCATTTTATGTCTTGTCAGGCTCCCTTCATAGTTTTTTGGAACTACATCATTATCAAACGTGTCTTAACACAAACATGTTGTAGAATGTTCCCTAAGCAGGATTTGTGTTTAAACTGGCTTTAACTTTTCAGTCTACATTGCTGTTCCATGTAACTGCATGCATAAGAAAACACTTCTTTACTGTGATGGTTGTTGAACACTGGAATAGATTGTCCAGAGAACTTGTGGAGTCTCCATCCGTGGAGATACTCAAAACCTGTCTGGATGCAATCCTGGGCAACCTGCTGTAGTTGACCCTGCTTGAGCAGAGGTGTTGCACTAGACAATCTGGAGTGGTCACGTCCAACCTCAACCATTCTGTCATTCTGTAATTGATAGAACAATATTGTGTTGTGTTTCTCATGTGTTGATATTTTAGAAGATGCTGCAGTGTGTTACTTGAAGTTTTTTTCCGTTGTTGTAACGCAACAAATGTGAAAAAATGCCATAACTCCAAACGTCCCCCCTTCCTTCTTCTTCCCCCAGCTTTATATGCTGAGCATGACGTCATCTGGTATGGGATATCCCTTTGGTCAGTTGGGGTCAGCTGTCCCAGCTGTGTCCCCTCCCAACTTCTTGTGCACCCCCAGCCTACTCGCTGGTGGGGTGGGGTGAGAAGCAGAAGAGGCCTTGACTCTGTGTAAGCACTGCTCAGCAATAACAAAAACATCCCTGTGTTATCAACACTGTTTTGGTCACAAATCCAAAACATAGCCCCATACGAGCTACTGTGAAGAAAATTAACTCTACCCCAGCCAAAACCAGCACATCCGTATATTGGTTGATGGGTAAGAGAAATCCGTTGTGTATATATCTTGAATGCTTGTCTTCCATAGGTCAAAATTTCAGACATTACTCTATAATACGATCGCTCCAGTCTGTTGTATTCACTTACTGTATTTCACTTATATCTAGGGCTCTGCCATTCTAAGCATTGTAACATTTCTTACCATTCCTGTGTTCATGTGCATCTGGCTCTTTCTCATGGGATTGTCACCACAGGATCACACTTTGTGTATTAGAATTCACTAGATTACAGAAGGGTAGAGCTTACACTTCATCTGGTTTTGGTTCATTTTCTCATAACTTCAGTATCTGCAGTTTGGTGGAAATATTTCTGTGAAGTTGTAAGAATATATTTATCACTTTGCCAATAGGCAAGGAGTCATGCTGCCATCATTGATGGGACTGTGCTACATACGTTTCTCTGAAGCTTTAAAGTGTATGGCCGGTTAGACCGTCAGCGAGTATCTGGAGATCTGGAGAAGGGGATGTCACTTTAATGTTGTATTTATTTGCATTTTAAGCTTTATTTCTATGAAAGGAGGAGAAAATTCAAAATTAAAAAAAAAAATATTAAAAAAGACGACTTTGTCATTTAAATCATTATTAAGGATCTTCTGGGCTCTCCAGGTCTGTTCCTGGAGCTGTAGCCATGTGCAAACACACAAGCCTCCTCCACAGGAACTGTTTTCCTGTGAGGTAAGGAAAGCAATTTAGC